GCGCGCCCGAGAGGGAGGCCGGGCCACCCCACCGCCGCCGGCCTGGCTGCCGCAGGTCTGTGCGCTAGAGAGCCCAGAGCAGAAGCAAACACAAAGCCACTCGACTTCCCTGGACACGTGGCGGATGGAAGACACGCTTTTGGGCCGGGTCATCATCCCTGCAGCAGGTCTTGGCCTTCTGAATCTGCAGACAATTGAATCATCCACAGCTCGCTTCTTTAGACTTTTTGCATGTTTAAAATTTAGTGCATTGATCGTGGCACATGATTTTAGCGTATAGCGAAAAACCAAACCACTTCTTGAGACTACCACAACTTTATTCCCTCCTTGCTGGTCTCCTAACAAGGCTGTTGGGCCTTCATCCCCCTTCTGAGTCTTAAGGACTTATCTGTAAAATAGAGTGAACAGACAACACCTTACCCTCCACCCCTACCCACTTAGCGCTCACTGCCCAAGGTCGCAGCTGTCAAGAGTAATGCTGGAAGCTGAGCTGCTCCATCCTTCCATGAAAGCTGGGCGGATACTTTCCTGTGACAGCCCTTTTTTTGTGCCCTTTCCCCGCCAATAACCACATGTGAATATGAAACGTGTATGTGGGAATTGTGTCCTCTCACCAAACATGTTCCATCTATATGCTGAGCGGTTATCAGAGAGGCTGGATTACATAAAGAATGTGGCACCAGGATTGGAGGAAGGCGTATTAACAACCTGTGGTATGCAGATGACACAACTTTGCTTTCTGACAGTGAGGGGAATTGAAGCAATTTCTGATGACGAGCAAGAACTGCAGCCTTCAGTAGGGATTGAGACTCAATATAAAGAAAACCAAAATCCTCACAAATGGGCCAATAGGGAATGTTAGATATCTCTGTCCTTGACTTTGCATGAGAAAGAATTCACGGCGAAGCCTGGTTTGTGATCCAAGTCCAAGTGGGCTTTTATAAAGGACAGAAGAAGTTTCAGGATTTACAGTTACTGAACACAGGCACCCTCATCAGACTGCACACCCGCGGCCTGGATCCAGAGACCACAGCACTGCTGAGCAGAGGAGGAGCAGCAAAAGGGAAGGGGCGGTGGTCTCCAGCCTTTGGGGCTTTCGGCCGGGAGGCGAGGTCGATGGCACTGCCAGACCCCATTGGCTGAATTAAGCTCACCTGGCCTAGTCTGGGCCAACCAGGTGTACCGACCACCTGCGTGTACCGCCCATCTGGGTCAAATCTGAACCTGTGCATGCCCCTTAGTCTGCGCTGGCCTCCAACCTCCTTTGGGGGGCCCCGGCCCCTAGTCGTGGAGAGAAACAACCCCCTATCCTGCTACCTAACAGTAACAGCATGGTCAACGGATAAAACATTGAAGTTGTCCAGGATTTTGGCTTACATGGATCTACAATCAATGCTCATGGAAGCAGCGGTCAAGTGAGATCAAAAGACTTATTGTGTTAGGTACATCTGCTGCACAAGACCTCTTTAGCGTATTGAAGAGCAAGGATGTTACTTTGAGATATAAATGAGCCTGACCCAAGCCATAGTATCCTCCATTGCATCATCTACATGTGCAAGTTGGATATTGAATAAGGAAGACCCTAGAAAAATGGATACATATTAATTGTGGTGCTGGAGAAGAAGCTTGAAAGTACCATGAACTGTTAAGGGGATCTACTGATCTGTATTGGAAGAGGTAAGGCCAAAGTGCTCCTTAGAGGCAAGGATGGCAAGACTTTGTGGTACATACTTTGGAGAGACCAGTGCCTGGAGAAAGACATCATGTTTGGTAAAGTGGAGGGGCTGAGAAAAAGAGACGGATTGACATAGCGGCTGTACCAATGGGTGCAGGCATAGGAACAATCATGAGGATGGCAGGGGCAGGACCAGGCAGTGTTTCATTCTGTTGTGTGTAGGGTCACAATGGGTCGGAACTGACTCGATGGCACCTAAAAATAATATAAGACCCTGCACCTCACAGTGGACTCTGTTTTTCACCTAGATCTAATCTCTCCACAGTCCTCAGGTGCTGCAGAAGGAACACAAGTTTTGTGGCAAGACAGACCCAGATTAAGATCTTGGTTGACTCCCTACTCAGTGATCCCCCCAACCATAAAATTATTTTGTTGCTGCCTCATCACTGCAATTTTACTACTGATATGAATGGGGCGACCCCTGTGAAAAGGTCATTCGACCCCCAAAGGGGTTGCGACCACTGCCCTAACTGAATGACCTGTAAAAATTTTATAACCTCTGTGAACCTCAAAAGTCTCATTTATAAAAATAAAATGAGGATAACCCATAGTCAGAACGATTATGAATGCCTATTTCAAGAATTCAAATACCAGTTTCACTTCCTGGATCTATCCTGGGGTCGTAAGCAAATTATATAACTTCTTTCGCTTTTAATTTCTTCATTCTTCTGCACAGTGAAATAATAAGAAAACTTCTGCTCTTATTTAGCCCTCTCAAATCTGTCATTAGTCCGTAAGTGTAATTGTGCGAAAATAACTGAAAATCAGAAAGCAATGGAAACATTTTAGTTGTTTTTATCCAAGCAATTGTGTGTGTGTGTGTGTGTGTATGTGTGTGTGTGTGTGTTTTCTTGGCTCTTCATCCACATGTCATACAGTTCAATAATTCAATCATATCAAGAAGAGTTGTACAATTGTCACCGCAATCAATTCTAGAACATTTTCTTCTTCCTTGTACTCATTGTTATTCACGTAATTTTTTTTTACTGTGCCAAAAAGATACACAACCAAACATTTTCCAACTCCACAACTGCTACATCTATAATTCATCCGGGCAATTCTTTACCCACTCAATTCTTTACCCCCACTTTCCCAGAAGTCAGGCGGTAGGGGTAGGGGAGAAGAAAACATGTGTGAAGTGGTCTGTCATATTATGTTCATGGATATGCAGCAGTGTTGTGAGGTCATCAAAAGAACACTGAATTTAGTGGGGCCTTCTCTCCCTAACTGTGTGTGCTTGTCGAGTGACTGGCTTTTCCTAGCACCAGAATCCTCATCTTTAAAATGGAAACCCCGAGAGCACTTCCTGCTGAGAGAAGTAGATCAGAGTTTGTGATAACATGGAAGAGCATCCCTATTTTATAATCATTCAGCACATGTCACTTAAAATAAAAATCTTAAAAGTGTATTAGAGTTTAAGTTCTGAGCACCCTTGATTGCATAAGGGTATGAAAGGCAGTGATGGCCCCTAACCCATTTCCTGGGTCCCCACAGGAATCCAGCCTCCATTGAATGCTTTCTCATTTTAACCAAGGACACACTGGTAGATAATCTTGGCCCCAGACAGAATGCCTTGGAGAGTAGATTACCTCCACCCGTCTCTAGCCAGCCCAGCAAGTGGCAGTCAATCTTAGGGGCATGCCTAGATGTGTCCTTGATGGAGGTCACCATACTAGGGACAACACAGAGGGTCCCATAGTCATAAATCAAGCCCTATCAGTTTGGCTCTGACTGCCTTGGTCTGAAGGCCCTAGACCAGCAGTTCTCAACCTGTGAGTCCCGACCCCTTTGGAAGTTGAATGACCCTTTCTCAGGGGTCCCCTAAGACCATATTTCGGATGGTCTTAGGAACGGAGACACTGCTCCTCTACCTGTCTCCAGGCGGGTCGCCCACATGCAGATATGCCCACATAGGGGGTCACCACAACATGAGGAACTGTATTAAAGTGTCGCAGCATTAGGAAGGTTGAGAACCACTGCCCGAGACTAATCTGGTAAACCCTTTGTTAGGTAGCTAGATTCAGGGACAAGGGGAGTTGTCCCTCCCATGCCTGCACAGGCCCCACTAGAGGAGGTTAGAAGGAAATCAGGTGACCATTAAATGCCTATGAAAACCTCCAAATTGAGCATGCTCAAATTCAAGTCCCCAGCAAGGTGGGAGGTGCACTAGGATGGTCCAAATTAGGCCTGGGCTCATGACCTCACCCAGGTGGGATTAGCACAGCCAATGGGGTCAACCAATACCTTCAACCACACCTCCCCCAGGCAGGGGGTGGGCCAGGATAAAGGAAGGTAACAGCTCTGGCCAGCTCTCTAGCTGATCCCACTTGTGCCACAGTCTCTCTGGCCCCCGTTCCACACGTGGGGGTGATCTTTTCCATGAGGTTGCTTGTGCCCAGTTGTGAACTCCAGCACAGCTTCTGTGAAGCTTGGCACACTTCCCAGGGTAGCAGGCACCCTTTGAGACTGTGACACCTGAAACTTGTCCCGTCCTTCATAAAAACCCACTTGGATCACAAAATGGCTTTCAATGTGAATTGTTTCATCATGTGAAGCCAAGAACCAAGGTATTACCCACTTGAGAAAGTCCTTATACTTTCTATCTAACAATGTGCGTGTCCGCACAAAGTCCTTCCTTTTGTAATAACCCGGTGGGCATTAGCAACTTATTCAGAGTGACTCTGGGAACATTACTGTGCCACCAGGTCCCCAAGGCTGACAGTTCCCACCATTAGCTTCTCAGAAAGGAGACTGCTCAGAAACTCAAAGGGGTAGTCTGACTGTGCT